CCCCAAAACCCCAAAACCCCAAAACCCCAAAACCCCAAAACCCCAAAACCCCAATAATTTTTAAATTTTAATTTGTCTTAAATTTATTCATTGATTGGTTTAGAGCAGATTCATGAATAACTTGAGATCTGGGTCGCATTTGGATAGGAATTCTCTATACCCAATATCGTAGTTCCAGTCAGCTTCTATGTTTTGTTCGTATTTCTCTAGAATCTCTTCTCAACGTTTAAGATCATAAGTTTCTGATTTTTTTATCTCATCTTCTTTCTCTTCCTCACTTTCAATAAATTTGATTTTATCTTTTACTGCTTCAAGCGGAGTATGACCAAAATTATTTTCTATTTCAAGGAATTTGTTGCTGCAATTCTTTAAGTAAAATTCTAGTACTTCAGCTGATCCTCTCTTAGCAGCAGAATGTAGAGGAGTGTCTCCTTTAATGTCTCTCTTCAGCAACTCCTCAAAGAATATGTGGTTCTTAACAATGCTGATCAAAGCCTCATATGCATTGTACTTGCCAGCCACGTGGAACAAACTCTGGTTCTTGAAGTTCTTGATGTGGAAGTACTGCTTCCCCTTCTTGAAGTACTTCCCAATCATCAAGGCGTCGTTGTTCTGTATCGAGTAGAATATCGGTAGGTTTCCGTAGTAGTCTTTTGTGTCAGGCAGCGGCTTGATGTGGTGCACAATGTCATGCTTCGTGAGCAAACAGACATAGTGCTCGATTGTCTGGCCTTTGTAGTTGCGGTCGCCTCTGGCTTTGAAGAAGTCAATTTTGCCTCCGAACCACTCGAAGATGTCTTTGTCACCGACTTTGCATGCAACGAAGAGTGGGTTCTCGCCATCAGTGTTCTTGATCTGGAGACTGTCAATTTTGTACTTCTCCATTTCCTGGAGCACTTCCATGCTTCTCGACTCAACGGCCACATGGAACGGACTCTGGGACTCGAAGTTGGTGCTCAGAGCGAGCTGGGGCTCAGCCTCCATGATGTTCTTGGCAGCATGGAAGTTGCCCATCTTGGCTGCAATGTGCAATGCAGTGTTGCCTTGCTTTGACTCTGTCAGAGCAACCAGGGCTCCTTTCTTAAACAGCAAGTCTGCAATCTCGACTCGCTCGTGTTCGATCGAAAGCATGTATGGAGTTTTGCCTTCCATGTCTCTGAGGTTGATGTTCTCGTCGTCTTCGTCAAGCAGCTTGGTCACTTCACTGATCTCGCCTCTGATGATGGCGAGGTGAATGTCAGCATAGTTCTCAGCATCAATGATGTCAGGGACCTGCTCGATCTGTTCTTCGAAGTACTCCCAGACGTCTTTCCTGAGGTTCGGAGAGTTCCTGAAGGGCATGTCTTTCTTCGGGTACGCTCTGATCAAGTCGTAAGGTGTCATGTGTTCGTTGTTCCTGGTGAGTCTGAGGTCGTGCACTTCGACCAGATCTTTGATGAACTGGAACTCAGAGTCTTTGACAGCAGCTTCGCACAAGTGGTGGAGAATGGTGTTGCCGTTACCATCTGGAATCGAAGGGTCGGCGCCCTTCTTGACAAGCATCTGGAACATTTCGTAGTCTCGCTTGATACCGGCCACATGTATTGGAGCGAAGCCGTCAACATCTTTCTTGAAGAAGTTAGGTCTGCCGTGTTCGAGAAGCACTTTTGTGATGAGTTTGTTGCCTCGCTCGATAGCTTGGTTGAGGGGAAGTTTGTTGCCAGCGTTGATATCAGGTTTGCAGGTTTTCATTGCATAGCTGAGGATGACGAGGTCTTGGTAAGTGCTTGTGCTAATTAACTCAAAAATTGGAGATTTCTCATCAAGGAGGATGTTCATATCATATTGATGCTTTTCTATTAAAACTCTAATAGCTTCATCATTGCTGAGTCTGCATGCAAGATGGATTGGTGTCATAAAGATATCTTTATTTAATGATTTTAAAAATCTGTATTGCTCATAAGACCTCATTGGCGAGATGGGAACGTACATTGTTTTTACTGATTTATTCGGGAATTTAAATAGTAAATCATTATTGTTCTTTTGAATAGCCAGAGTAAAAGATTTCTCATATTTTAAATCAAGTCTATGAGGCTTTGTTATAAACCTGATACTAGACATATTATGGAACTTATTTTGATTTCTTCAAAAGCAAATCAGCTCTATCATTTTTGCCTTCAAAAATAGCTGTATCAAGAGGAGTCATCCCCATCTGATTGAGAATGAACAGCATATGAGGATACATTGTAGCTTGATTTTCCAATACCTCTAATTCTTCCAACCTAGTTGCCTGGTGTAAGGTTGTATTTCCTTCATCGTCTAGCATATGATCGTCAGGTTCATTAAGATAACTTTTAAGATTAAAATACTCATTTCTATCTCTTCTATTTCTTTGCTCTTCTTCGCTGGGCCTTAGTGTACTTTCAACATTGTCGAACACTCGGTGGCTAATGAAGGCAATAACTTGGTATCCATTCTTGACTAAAATGCATAATGCGATCAGGAATGACACAAATCCCACTATCTTCCACTCATCGTTATTATTCTGTGTGACTTGGACAATCATCATGGGAATTGCTTGTAGGAATAATTCTGTAAATATTTGGACTCGATAGTAGTTTTCAATTGTGAATAAAGCCATATTGTTGTCTTCCACATTGATTTTGCACTTGATTCTGAACCAATTGAAAATCTTCTTATAGCCTGGGAGGATTTTTATGTACATCAAAAGGGAGAAGAGAGGACTCAGGTATATATACTTGGCTTTTACCTTCCAATCCTTATCTGAATTTGGATGAGACAACCCATATGTTGCAAAAAGAAAACCATAAAATAAAGGCTGGAAGACTATGAATCATATGCATGCCATCTGGAGTGCGTCTGATGAGAAATCTGTAGCTACGAAGTAGATTATGTCTGTAAGCCAGTCAAGTATCCCAAGTATAACCCCTATCGTCATATATAGAGTTATGTTCATCTTTGCTTTAAATTTTTAAATCTTTACAACTTGAAATTTAAATTTAGGGGTTTTGGGGTTTTGGGGTTTTGGGGTTTTGGGGTTTTGGGGTTTTGGGG